TAAACTAGTATCCGATAAATTAATAACATAGTATAAATAATATATTTTCTCGGTCTCTACTCAAGGACAACATGTTAAAAATTATTCCGTTAATCTGTATTAATTTAGTTATATAATTATATATAGGGCGATAATCTGAAAATTAGTTAAAAAATTAAAGGGTCTCGCCTAACTGGGCCTTTTCAATTGGGCTAAGATGATGGGTCTAAATTTGATTTTAAAAAATTGGACTATATAAGAAGTATCATAATAGTTCAATAAATCATTAGAGAACGAGTTTGTTTTTCAAAGTTAGAGGACCTAGTTGTAATTAAATATAACCTCGAGTATAATTTATAAATAATTATATTTTCCACCCAAAAAGATTTGTATCATTCCCAACAAGTCCCTGGAAAATTTCGTTCATCGCAAATCGACTCTCCATCCTAAACCAGCACTGGCGAGACACCGTCCTCGTTTACGGTTACGACGTCATAGTTATCAACAGCATACTCAAAGCAAAGATGCTTCAGTTCCGATGCATTATATTTCACCGCTAGTGAGAGAATCTCTGCAAATCGGCTAAGAGATATGCTCCTTCGATACATAAGTGAGACTCGCATATAACTTTGAGATGCTTCACATCATATTTATCTGCTGCTGCTGCTGCTAAGCAATTTGGCTCCAATTGTATTCGATACAGATGTCGGCCCAAAAGCATATCCATCCACCGAAGACCTTTATCGATAAAAGGAAGATTTCGGAGAATCCTTTTGTCCTCATTGGTGTTATTTGTTAATAACGCATGGAACATTGTTATGTGAGATCTGATGAAACCCGTTTCCACTCTGATCGAGTAGTCTCATCTCGAGATATATAGGTACTCCTTCACTTTCAGTATTAAGACGGACAAAAAGATCAAAGTAGATGATTTTGAAGATTTTTCCATCATGGATATATGAAAACGGCAGCCAAAGAACACAAAAAAATTGGTTATAAGGCTGGATTATTGTTTAGAAAATCCAACTTTATCATTTTCTTTATTTTCCCAAAAGCTGCTTAAGCAAACTTAAGTAAGAGCTTTAAAAATGAAATTAGAGAGCCATATTGATATGAACTCATTCAACTTATAGAAATAACTTAAAAGTTTTGATCTTTGCGAGGAAAAAAAAACAACATCATAAAGCAGCTAGTGTAGAAATGATGAAACACATAATGAAAAATATGAATTGTGTCTTGTATTTCATCAATGAGAGCTTGTACATTTATATACACACAAAAGAGAAATAATAAAGGAAGAAACTAATTACACCTAATCAAATCCCTAATCAAATCACTAATTAAGACTTGATTGAATTTAATCAAATCACTAATCAAATCACTAATTAAGACTTGATTGAATCTAATCAAATCACCTAATTAAGGCTAAACTAAATCAAAATGAATATATATTATATTCTTCTAACACCCCCCGTCAAGTTGGAAGTGGTATTGATATATCAAAAACACCCAACTTGCGAACTAATCGCCGATAAGCTTCACCGCCAAGTGGTTTCGTAAAAATATCTGCCAGTTGATCACTTGAACGTAGGTATGAGAGAGCAATGAGACCTGCCTGAATTTTTTCTCGAACCGAATGACAATCAATCTCAATGTGCTTGGTGCGTTCATGAAAGACAGGATTTTCTGCAATGTGTATAGCAGCTTGGCTATCACAATGAATTGGAATTGGTTGAGAGTGGTTGAAACCGAGATCCGTTATCACATATTTTAACCACTGTAACTCACATGTAAGTGCAGCGAGAGAACGATATTCGGCTTCGGCAGAAGAACGAGAAACGGTTGGTTGTTTCTTAGTTTTCCAAGAAATAGGACTAGAACCCAACATGGTGAAATAACCAGTGGTAGACCGACGAGTGGTAGGACAACCAGCCCAATCAGAGTCGGCATATCCTACTAGAGTGAGAGAACTAGATGCAGAAAGGAATAAACCTTTACCAACAGTACCTTTAAGATAACGAAGGATTCGATTGGCAGCATCAAGATGAGTAGAATGCGGATTTTGCATGAATTGACTAAGAGTATTTACCGCATATTGAATGTCAGGTCGTGTTACAGTGAGATACAGCAGGCGCCCTATGAGACGTCGATAGATTGATGGATCGGGAAGAGGAGTCCCATCATGTGGACGTAAACGAAGATGTGGTTCCATTGTAAAATCAGACGGACGAGAACCAGTCATCCCGGAATCAGATAAGATGTCTAGAGTATGCGTTGACATAAAAAAATGCCTTGTTTAGAACGAGATACTTCAATACCCAAAAAATATCGAAGATTACCAAGATCTTTTATGGAAAAAGAATTGGCAAGAAATTTTTTGATATCGGAAATGGCATCATCATTATTTCCTGTAATGATAATATCATCAACGTAGACGAGTATAAAAATGGATGTCTTATTACGAATATATGTAAAAAGACTGTATATTGACGAGATTGATGAAAGCCTCGACTAATAAGAGTGGTTGAGAATTTGGAGAACCATTGACGAGATGCTTGTTTAAGACCATATATTGATTTATTTAATTTACATACACGAGTCTCCCCTTTTTGAGAGAAGCCAGGGGGAAGTTTCATATAGACCTCTTCATTAAGATCTCCTTGAAGAAATGCATTGTTAACATCAAGTTGGTGGATGGACCAACTTTTAATGGCAGCAATTGAGAGTAGGAGACGTACAGTAACTTGTTTTGCCACAGGTGCGAAGGTATCATGATAATCAATTCATTCAATTTGAGTATAACCTTTGGCAACTAGACGAGCTTTATATCGATCAATTGAACCATCTGACCGATATTTAATTTTGAAGACCCATTTACAACCAATGGGTGATTTTCCGGGTGGAATTTGACATAAGGACCAAGTGTTATTTGATTCTAGAGCTCGAATTTCCTTGGCCATTGCATCACGCCATTCAATTGATTTTATGGCTTGAGAATATGATCGCGGCTCTTGATTCTTAATGATATTTGTGAGAAAGGCTCGATGGGAATGACTTAAATTACCGAAAGAAATGTAATTTGCTAGTGGAAAATCAGTGGATAGTGAAATATAATTAAAAATATAATCATTGAGACGCTTTGGTTGGTGACGGATGCGTTGAGGGTAATTACGAACAATGGTTGTAGAAGGTGAATCAGAAGATGGTGTGCCATCGAAAATAGATGGAGAATTAGTTGAACCATCAACTTGAGAAGGTGAGGAAGGAGGTTCGGAAATAGAGGGAGAATTGATTGAATCATCAAGCTGAGAGGGTAAGGAATGAGATGGTGGCGAGTCATCCAAACTCGTAGTTTCATTATGAGGAATAGAATCACCCGAAGGGGGGTCGATGAGTGGTGTAGGGTAGTCAAAAGTCCCATTATCATTGATCGGAGTAATTGAAATTGGATCTTGTAAAGATGAATTTGCAAGATCATGATATGGAAAAATTGACTCATGAAAAATGACATCGCGTGAAACGTAAATTTGACGAGTTTTGAGGTCGTATATACGATATCCCTTTTGTCCATAAGGATAACCAACAAAGATTCCAGGTTTTGCTCGTTCATCAAATTTATGTTGAATATTTATATTTTTAGAAAAACATAAACACCCAAAAACTCGAAGAGAGGAATAAGATGGAAGATGTCCAACTAAGACTTGATGAGGAGATTTATATTGAAGGACTGGAGTTGGAAGTTTGTTAATGAGAAATGCAGCGGTTAGAATACATTCACCCCAAAAAGAAAGAGGCAAGTTTGCTTGAAATCGTAAAGCTCGAGCGACATCAAGGAGATGCCGATGTTTACGTTCTACAATGCCATTTTGTTGTGGGGTCGCAACGCAACTACGTTGATGAATGATTCCATTATCATGAAACCATTTTTGAATTTGTTTGGAAAGAAATTCAGAACCATTATCTGAACGTATGGTTTGAAGTTGAGGAAGAAAAATATCCCCATTTCCGGAATTGAAACGAGAGACTTTTGTGTTAAATTGACGACGAATTAGATTTAAAAAATGGGTTATCATGTTGAATGTTTCGGATTTGTGTTCCATTAGATAAATCCAAGTGCATCTTGAATAATCATCAACAATAGTTAAGAAGAATCGTGATCCATTTTGTGAGGGTATAGAGAAAGGACCCCAAATATCAACATGAATCAATTCAAAACAATGAGAAGAACAAGATGTACGTTGAGGAAATGAAAGACGTGCCTGTTTAGCACGTGGACAAACATCGCAAACAAAATCCTTATTTGGAATAATATTTTGAGAATTCTTAACAATAAAATCAAAACGAGGCCTAGATGGATGACCAAGGCGAGAATGCCATAGATCAAATTTATTACATTGCTTAATAGAAAGAGCAGAATTAGAAACCAAATTGCAATCTAGATAGAAAAGGCCATTGTGAGGATTACCCCGACCAATCGTCTTCTTCGTTGATTGGTCCTGAAATACACATCCAGACGAAGAAAAAATTATATCACAATTTGTGGATTTCGTAAATTGTGAAATGGATAACAAATTGAACTTAAAAGATGGAATGTAAAAAACATTCGTGAGAATGAAAGTACCAAAACATTTGACTGTGCCTATGTGAGTCACAGGCGCGTGAGAGCCATCAGGCAATTGAACATATATGTTTTTACGAATAGGAGAATATGAAGAAAAAAAAGAGAGAGATGTACATATATGATTAGAAGCACCGGAGTCAATAATCCAACAAAATGACGAAAATGTGTGATTTTTACCTGCCAAGTGCACTGAGGGTCCACTAGTTTCTTCTTTGGCAAGAAGTGTGAGAAGCTTGTTGTATTGTTCGTGCGTGAGTGAACTAGCCATAAGAGTGGAGTTGGATGGTGGTGGCACGGATTTCTTCACATGTTTGTCGGGAAAGCCATGAAGTTGATAGCATGTAGCAAGAGTATGACCATGTTTGTTGCAATGGTCGCAAAATGGACGTTGACGTTTTCCCTACGGACGAAATGGAGGTTTAGATGCTTGAAGTGCAGCGGCATCAACAGTAGGAGTTGTGAGAATATTGATCTCTTGTTGCTTTTCTTCTTGACGAACCAAATTATAGATACGTTGAATGGAAGGAAATGGTTCCATCAAGAGAATTTGGCTGCGAATAGCGGAAAAACGATCATGTAGTCCTTGAAGAAATTCCATGGATCGATCTTGATTTTGTTGGTCAATAATGCTTTTAGCATTACCACAAATGCAAGGAGTGATATGGATAATGGAACCGAGTTCATCCCATAGAGATTTGAGTTGCGTAAAATACAATGAAACAGACATGCTTTCTTGTTTGAGGGAAGAAATTGATTGTTTCAATTGATAGATTTTTGGAGCATTTGACTGAGAAAAACGATCCTTGAGACCGGTCCAAATTTGTGCTGCAGTTTCAGCATACAAGATACTTGGACGGATCTCAGGTGAAACAGAATTAAGGATCCAACTTCCTACCAAATCGTTACAACGTTCCCAATTAGAAATGTCAGGTTTCTCTGTCGGAATTGGGAGTGACCCATCAACGAAACCAAGCTTATTTTTGGCACGAAGTGCCATTGTGACTGCACGACTCCATGATCCGTAATTATCTCCTGTCAACAAAAGTGTGACAAGGATAGTAGAAGGACTATCGGAATGATGGATTGTGTATAAATCGGTTATGATGGGTGTGGGTGATGATGAAGACGACTTTGTAGGAAGAAGATCATCGGTAGACATTTTGAAGAATGATGAAAAAAATCAAAGATTCACTGATACCATGTAGAAATGATGAAACACATAATGAAAAAGATGAATTGTGTCTTGTATTTCATCAATGAGAGCTTGTACATTTATATACACACAAAAGAGAAATAATAAAGGAAGAAACTAATTACACCTAATCAAATCCCTAATCAAATCACTAATTAAGACTTGATTGAATCTAATCAAATCACTAATCAAATCACTAATTAAGACTTGATTGAATCTAATCAAATCACCTAATTAAGGCTAAACTAAATCAAAATGAATATATATTATATTCTTCTAACAGCTAGGTTAAAAAAACAGGAATTACAGTATGTTCACATCAAAATCCAGGCGTTAATCAGCAATTCAATTGTCTCTTATTTCATAAATTTCATATAAAAACAGTTCAATTGTGTCTGAAAATTCGCACAAAAACATTCATTCAAAAAAAAAACAAAAATCGAGAATACAGAGATGAGTGAATATACCAAAATACACGACGGTAGAGAAAAAAATAAATAAATCCCGACGGTGCAGGTTTTAGGATGGAGGTCGATTTGGGGTTTGGGGTGATACAATCCTTTTTGGGTTGATAAATATAGTTTTTAAATTACAATTAGATCCTCCCAAGGTTTTAGGATGAACTCTGAAGATTTAATTACAATTAGAGCCTCCAAGGTTTTCAATTCTGTGTTGCCTTTGCTTAGTTCGATATTTGTTTCTGTTGTTTCGTTAGTTTTTCGTTGTTTTCGTCTGTGTACTCTTCAGAATTTAGCTAGTCCATAGTTAACCTCTATGTGTTGCTGCTGAGGATCAATCAGAAATGGTTTTTCAAGATATCACCTTTTAGTTTTTTTTTGACTATTGATTTATTTAATATATGACGAACCTTTTAAATAAACCTTGGAGTTAGTCAAATACCCTCTACAGCCTAACACTGGGATCTGATCTCATCAAACTAGTTTAATTGCTCTTCGATTTCATTTTGTAGGTCATGCTCTGGTACGTGTACACGGGAATTCTTCAGGAAGAAGAGCTCGGTGACTGTGATCTTGGTGCATTCATGCCTTGTTCGTTCATGGGGAAGATGTTTGTTGGTATTTTAGGGCCGATAAGCATAAGATAAAGGAGTTCTAAGGTTGGTCAGGATTTAAATCCTGAATCTTTTGTTTTAGCATTAGATTTTATTTGACGGGATGATGATTTTACTTATACACTTCAAAATTGATATTTGTTAACGTAAGGAATTATCGAATCTTCAGTTGCAGATCTCTCCTGCGTTCCAAATATAAATTTATGTCAACAATTACCAACTAAATTAGTCTTGACATTAACAAATATCAATGTGGCTGGCGATGGCGATTATATACATCATAATTTAACTAGCTAGGGAACTTCCATAAAATATTTTACACAGTCTACATAATAATTATCCACACAGCCCAACTTTGAGGAGATTAAAAGCAATCCATTTTAGAACTCCTTTATCTTATGCTCGTCAGTTGCACACCGAGGCCCTCCTAAAATACCAGCAAAAGTCTCGTTCACAGCAGACCAAACTTTCTTGTAAAAGTCACATTCCTGCATGGCACGCAAACAACATGCGAACCGTATTATTAATCAAGCAAGTTTGTCGAGAAACAAAAATTAAAGTCTCTATGCCTTACCTCATGTACATTCCCAGAGTAACTTCCATTATAGGCCAACTCTAGAAACAATGACGGACAATGTTTTTTGACGTATTTACATCCATCAGAACCCAAGATATCTGAAACAATTTCACAACGAGTAACTGTCAACACTGGAAAAAAAAAAGTATGGAAGCATATGAAATACGAGACTCAATGTACCTAATATACCAGCAGCAGCAGCATTGTTTTGAGCTCCGAACCCGAGACATGCTGCTTTCAATTCTTTGGCATGACAGAGTTCAGCTAAATGTAAAATATATGCAATTGATTCTGCAGATATTCTTTCCGAAATGTGCGATTCACAAATCTTTTTAAGTTCTTTCAACTCAAATCGATCAGCTGCAGCGAGCATCTTCCCCATGAACGACTCGAGCACGAACGAACCAAGATCACTATTCTCTTCTTCTTCCTGAGGAATTCCTCCTGAGTACACATACCACAGCACGGCCTAAAGCACGAAACGAATTTCAACACAAACAACAAATAAATCAGGAAATATAACTAAAAAGACGAAAATTCTAGAGAAAGAAACAACAAACACAAATATATATAAGCATAATAGAATAATTTATTATTATTATTATTATTATTGCCTTGAATATATTAGGGTCCATATCACTAATATCGATCTCCGATAGAAGTTTGGGACAACGGGATGCTAATACCCAGTGATGCGCGGAGAAGCTCTGGTTATTCACATTGAAGAAAACATCGGCACTTTCTTTGGTCAAAACTCCGATAGTGACACAAAATTTCAAGCAATCGTCTTTGAGATAGTCAGGAGATTCAAGGGTTGCTCGGGGAATGAAGTAGGGACATCCAGCCACGTGGCCGGTTCTAAGGAGTGAGATTTGAGGAGGATTTCGATCGAAAATCGAGGTTCCGTAATTTTCGCCATTACCAGTCTGGTCAAGTAAGTAGATCGAAAATAAACATTGCACAAGGTCATCGGTCTCGCTACTCAGATATATATACATAGATGCAAATCCGGCTTCGTTGGCGGCAACGGTCCTTCCGGCGGGGTACAAGAGCACCGACCATAAATAGCCGCCGGCGAAGAATTCTTCATTGTAAATATCTTCGTCTACATCAATTCCATCGCAGAGGGAGGAGTAATTCTCTAGCACAAACATGTACGACCCCTTTTCAATTCCTCAAGCCGAATCTGAGCCTTCCATTGCTAATTAATGCGATCACGAAATTGAAGATGCCCCGGAGGGAGGAAGGTGGCACCCTCGAAAAATAATAATAGCACTTTGCACCCTCAAAACACAATAAATCACTCACAATTTACCCTGAATTGGATAATAAAGGCAATTTCATTTTTCATTGGTGTTTTTTATTTTCGGGGTGCAAAATAAAAAAAATAAATTATTATTTTCTTGAACCTCCAACCTAATTTCGAGCGGACAAAGTGCGCAAAAATAAAAATTACACTGGATTATTTTAAAAACCTACATTTGCTTACCAAAAAAAAAAGCTTTTATCACTAAATTATTCGATTGATGGATCTTTTAGGTAACTGTTTGAAAATATTAGGTGAATATATGGAAGAGAATATGATTTTCAAATAACTTGATAATGAAATTGCTGAATGATTTTTTTTTTCATAAAATATTTTGTTCTGATAAAAAATATAATTTTTAAATATGTTGATGAAATGTATTTTTATTTTTGAGATTTATAGTTTCAAAATGATTGATGAATAAAAAAATATTTGACATTTCAAAATGATTGATGAATAAAAAAATATTTGACATTTTTTGTCATCCTAAAAAATATCATTAAAAATATTAAATTTACATTTTTTGGCTTTAAAAATTCATTTGGGGTGCATTATGCATCATTTATTGTATTTTGAGGGTGCAAAGTGCCAAAATGATATATTTCAAAAAATAATTTGTTTTTTCAAATCAATATGTTTAGTGTACTGAAAATAACTACATGTAACTGTAGTACCTATAGTAATTCGTAGTTATGTTCGTTTTTTTACCCCATATTTTTAGTCGATCAATTGTATACAATCACGAATACTGGCTTATACAAAAGAAATTCATAAATCCCAACAAAAATTTACAAATTTCAATATTTTTATTATAATCCACCACATAAAAAATAAAATACAAATCCAAAATACACAAATATATGCATATATAACTAACTACATGTACCAACCCTCATTAGGAGAGTTGGTACCTAGGCCTACCAATAGAGTAAAACGTCTAGGGTTCGAGTCCCCCCTCCCCTACTTCCCCTTCTAATGACTTGAATTACTCAAAAAAAAAAAAAAAAAAAAACCTAACTACATGTTACTATATGTATAGTAATGTATATATACAGTCTGTTGAATATTGTAACTTGAAGCAGATGTAACTTCAACCGAAATTTTTGACACCTTCAAGGAGAGGATCAATGACTTTCATTAAACTGCAATTGCAAATAAAACAAATTACTTTAGTGCAAATCAACAAAATTTGAAGAAACATCAAAACACTTAAAAATCAACAAACACAAAGATATCGAGATATAGAGAGAGAGAGGTTATTGTTGGGAAATGCTACAGCTTTTAAATCTAACAGACAGTGACTCCTCACCCCCCTCGCCTCTTACCAAAACTCTAGCTGTCACTAATAACCACCCACGGTTCCGCGCGCCCACAAATGCAAAAAAATATAGAAATAAATCTGAAAACATAAAACTAAACGAAATTACCATCATATTATAGATCTCGACGAGAGGAATCCAACGGTGGGTAGCCCGTCAAATTTCGACTGGTGGAACACAAAATAGACCTCCGACAAGACCACCGTCGTCGAATGAAAAAAAAATTGCAGAAACAGATCCAGCACTCGAAAGTGAATGAAATCACCACCAAAAGAAAGAGCTCGACGAGAGGAATCCAACGGTGGTTAAACAATCGAAATTCCGACCACCGGAGAGAGAGTTATGACTCCGGGAAGCAATTTCGCCGATTAGAGATATATGGAAGCGGAATTTGAATCTAGGAGAGGAAGAGAGAGACGATTGTGAGTGGCTATGTTTTAAAACTGATTTTAAAAGGGTATTATTATAGCGACTTCAGGGTGGCCGAGGGGGTATGTCAAATATTTTCGAAATGAGGGGGTTTTCCCCTAAAGTGTAATCCACTTGGTAGTTAGTTCTATATAATTTAGAAATGATGGGAGTGCAAAATAATCCCATTTTCTATATTTTATTCTTAGATCCCTAATTTGGTTTAAAAGTATAATTTTTGTAAAACTTTACTCTTTTGAAAGTGAAAAAAAATATTAATTTTAATTGCATTCCACAAAAATTTTAAAAAAATGGTAATTCCAACTTTGGAAGTCGGAACAAACAAACTTGTTCAAAAATTAAAAAAATCGAGTCGAAATAGCCTTAATATGATTTTTTATTTTTTATTCACATTTAAAATACAATATTGATATTATAAATATAATTTTTTTACTAGTTGTTCTCGTACCGCCTGTGCTAGAAACCCCGTTTCAACCTAACGTATAGAAGTTCACCTTAGGCCTCCAATATCATAGTTAGGAATTGTTCTTAAACAGATAATTAGGGGTGTAAATGAGCTGAGCTCGAGCCGAATTCAGCTTTTTTGGAAGGCTTGAGCTCGAACTCATTTTGGTTTGTTTTTCTTCTAATTATTAATTTTTTTATCAAAAATTATTTTTAGTATATTGAAAAAATAATAAAATAAAAAATGAACTTTAGTTATATATATATTTTTTTAAAGATAATGTTCTTTTTATATTATTATTATAATTATTTTATATTATTATGCATTATCTAAGAAGTATATATTTGTTTCTATTTAAATGCTAGTAATATTTATTATTCTAGACTTTAACATTTACCTATTCAGTAACTACTAAAACAAGTGTTAAAAAACAAAAAATCCATGACAAGGGCACTTCACTAAAAAATGGGCATTCAATTTTTTTGTCTTTTAAATAAGGGATTATTTCATAAAAGCCCCTCATATGCACTGTCCAATTAAGAGAGGTCCAATTTTTTTTTCCTTTTCAAGATAAATCCAAAATATATTTTAATTACCATAAATAATGTAATTCACTATTATACCCTTCACCTAACCCTATACAACTCACGTCAATCTTTTTTTTGCTCCGCCTTTCTCCCCTCTCTCATCTTTCAACAGGTAGCCGGCCTGCCCTTTCTTCCTCTACATCGTCGATCTCTTTCCCCAATTCTCGATTTCTTTGCCGAGGATGAGACCTGATCCCACTCCACCGCCTCCCCCCATCTTCACGGCTCTGATGGACCCCCTCCGTCTGCCTCCTCGTCATCCACCACGTCGGCCCTGTGGCTCCTTTTATCCTCTCCGGCGGTGATCTCCATCTTCCCTGTCGGCGGAGGAAGAAGCGGCGATTTTTGCGGTGGATCGACGCGGTGGATCGACGAGATGCAAGGGTAATATGAAAAAAGGGAGAATTTTGATTATTTCTTATTCGTTTCTTTTAAATGTTTTTTTAGCCTTTTAACTTTTAATTGAATAATTTGTTTTCTTCGAATATCTTTCAATTGGTATCAGAGCATAATTTTAAAGTCGATTCATCTTAGAGCTTAAAATTAATTGTTATATGGATATCTTGTTATATAATTTAATCGATTTGTCTTTGTTCCTACAAATCAAAGAAACGGCAATTCCGTGACTTTCATAGCTTATGTTAATTGTCTGTTCCTATTTTCCATTGTCGTACTTTTATATTCCGGTCAAAGTTCTTAATTTTCTAAATAAAATAAAATAATAAATATAAACTACTGGTGGGTTTAATATATTACGGTATATTGCATGTATTTGTTAATTGGAAATATTCATAGCAAACTTAAAATTATGTCTTTCAATTTTTAAATATATTCCTTTTCTTCAAAAGGCCCAGGCTACTTGTGTACTGTGGATACATCGACAACTTTTCGTTGGACTTGAGATTAGTTTTAAAAAAGTAAAACATAAATCTTATATGTTTGTTATTGTTCTTCTGTTGTATTGTATAGTGGACTTTGTTAATTTTATAGTGGATTTCGATAAGTATATATAGTGGTTTTTTTCAATAAATTTATACTAACGTTCGATAAGTATACAGAGGGGTTTTCGTGTTTATACAGTTGATTATATAGAGTGGTTTTCATGTTTATGCTGTTTACACAGAGTGGTTTTCATGTTTATGCTGTTTACACAGAGTAGTTTTCATGTTTATACAGCAGTTTATACAAAGTGATTTTCATGTTTATACAACAGTTTATACATAGTGGTTTTCATATTTATATAGTTGTTTATACAGAGTGGTTTTCATTGTTGTTCCATCATCCATTTTTCGTTTCAACAGATTTATGCAATATTAGTAGGTTAGAAAGAATTTGTTTATGAAAGATTTCCCTGATTTTTTTCCCACCAACGATGGTGTGACCCCAAGGTTTGCTTTTGGAAATTGGTTTTCATTTTCTAATTAATTTTTTTCTTGTTCAGATTGATTTAGTGACCCTCGTCGGCCTTGTTGGTGGTGGTGTACTGGTCTTGCATTTTTTCCTAACCATAGTAGTGGTTTACGTTTCAAATAGTGTGTTTTCGAATATTGAATTTACATTTTTTTTGTTTGTTATATTTTGAGTTGTGCTAGTAGTGGGTTACATATGTTTTGGTGGATTTCGATAAGCTTGTTGTGGATTATGTTAATATTAAAGTGGATTACGTTAATTTTAAAGTGAATTTCGATAACTTTGTAGTAGCTTCCGATGAGTATATAGTGAAAAAATTATAAGAAATTAAAAAAAAAAGAAAAAGAAAAAAATAGGCGTTAAAAGCCATATTTTTTAAACTTGGTGGAAGAAATAAAAAAACTAAATAATAAAATTGAACTAAAATAAAAGAAAAAAAATAAATAATAAAACTGAAATAAAATAAAACTAATATTTATTTTAAAATTGAAATTAAAAATATTTTTTCTATTGAAAAAAAAGAAGAAAAAAAAACTGAAATAACGTTAGATTTGTGAGGAGTTATTTTGTAGAGAGAGAGTGATATGGGCATTTCAGGTAATTTGAATTAAATGGACTTATGTCAAATATCAATTAATAAAATGGATTTGTTATGAAT